ATTTTACAGTCTTTATTTTACAGTTAAATATATATTTTTATCAAATAAAGTCTAATGTTACAACTAATCATGGATCCCTTTAAGTTTGAAATGGCACAGAAGGTCCTTTTTGTTTTTCTCACAAATGCAGATTTCTGTATGTTAGTTCTTGTATTTGCACTTTAGACCTGACTAGCTATGTTAGCCTAAACTAGTTGGACCCTCTGGTAGTGCATGACTTCACATAACCAGTGTTTAACCTTTTTTTTTTTTTTGGTGGACGACAAAAAGCTTAGTAATGGATGGCAGATAGCTGAAGCTGTCCAATCATACAGTATTGTGAAATGTTTACAGTATAAGTCAAATTTTTTGGACACATCTTGTAATTTCATTATTTAACAACCGTTTTATGCTTAATGCTAACATGAATGATTTCTGTCTCATGTTAAACTGCATCAAAGGTTAAGCAGTGAAAAAGCCCACCTAAACAAACTGTCCACTGTCGTCATGTAAGATTATAGTGTTGAGACCTCAGTGTGAAAGACGTTGTGTGCTTCATGCAGGAGGAGGTGGATGCAGGAGCCATAATTGTGCAAGAGGCTGTGCCTGTGTTGGCCCACGACTCAGAGGAGACTTTGTCTGAGAGAATAAAGGAGGCAGAGCACAGAGCCTTCCCCGCAGCTCTGGAGCTGGTAGCTGGTGGTTCTGTGCAGCTGGACGAAGCTGGACACGTCATGTGGAAGACGCAGAAATGATCAGCACGTTTTGTCATCACCCTTCATGGCATGTTGTCACAGTGGGAGCATCAGTCCCTGCAGTATGAACAGTAATTAGCACAGGTGTCAAATCATGGCAGTCAGTGGCTGCTGTCCTGTTCAAACACACCTGATTCACTTGAACTGTCTGAATTCATTCATGCAGCTCAGGTGTGTTGGAGCAGGAGAAACAAACCTGCTGCTCTGAATTACCAGGATTTGATTCTTGTTTGTCAGGATGAAAATASGACTTATTACACTTTAGATCTGTATGTTTTCAGTTTGATCTCACTGCCTTAGTGCACACTGTTTACTTGAAGTGTAATTACATTCCATTAGTCTGTTTATTGAACATGCATGTTTCATAGCATTAAAGTCATGTAGGTGGGAAAAATTACAAATGTCCGGATTTGTGTTTTATTCTATGTAATTGAATTAGTTGTAAGTAGGAATGCAAACAATTTATCGACTTACGATTAATTGTCGAGTAATAGATTAAAATCAGTTCCAACTGATTAACTGATAACATCTGCCGGTGCATCACATTTTCCATAAATCGCTTTAACTGGAAAGGTACGCTTCTCTGAGAGAGACTGTTTCACTTTGAGTCAAAAACAGACACTTCAAACCTTAAACCAGTTTTTAAATTGTGTTGTTAGTAGAACCGGAGTTATGATGAACAGCATACGCCACATTTCTGTTCCTGTTGGAAACACCTCAACCCACCGTCTTTCCTCCTCTCCCAGTCCAGTATTCAGTCTTGAATGTTTTTCACAGCAC